TTATATACATGTTTAGGAAAATTCTGTCAATAAGACGATAAATGTCTAAGGAGGCTGGGTTTTAAGTGGGACCATTTGTGACCCCTCCAATGTTTCTTGGGAATTTTTCTGGTGTATATTGAATCATTTTTAGCACTAACTATTATCTTAGGCTATTGTTAATATTTGGTTAGCTTTTGAATATAATCAATTGAGTAAGACACAAATGACATCATCGTTTACATAAGTAAAAACAATGACAGTTACAAATGCAAATATTGATGTTGAAGAATTTGATGGTCAAAATAACTTTGGCTTATGGCAATGTGAGGTAATGGATATCTTGTGTCAACAAGATCTAGATATAGTTCTAGAGGAGGAAAAACTAGAAGATATCAATGAGAAATACTGTGTGAGGTTGAATGTAATAGCTTATGGGATGATTTGCTCATGTTTTTGTAGAGAGCAGACGTATCCATTCATGAAAGAGAAGTCTACTAATAAGTTATGGAAGGCACTGAAAAACAAATACATGAAGAAAAGTAACGAGAATCGACTCTATTTGATAAAAATATTGTTTTGTCTTTAGTTGCAACCATGTACGAGTATCCATATTGATATTATTGATACATTTAACAAACTGATTGCTGATTTGTTAAATTTGGATGAAATGACTTCAAATCCAACATTTATTTACCGCAGCTTATTCCTTCTCTCTTTCCTCATAAAACTACGTTGTTGATTGGATCTCTTCCAGATGAATTGGATAATCTTAGTATTACACTTCTTTATGGGAAAGAAAAATTGTCTTTTGAAAAAGTCTGTTTTGCTTTGTCATATCATGAAATTCGGAAAAAGGATTAGAATGAGAATAGAAATGAGTCAGTAGAGGCAATTACAAAAAGAGGGCGTAGTTAGAGTCGTAAGAAGGAGAAAAGGGGAAGATCTTGTTTGAAGGGAAAACTTCATAGGGATGAATATGCCTTTTGTCATGAAAAAAGACATTGGAAGAAAGATTGTCTGAAGTTGCAAAAGAAACTTCACTATCTTCTAAAGAATATTACAAACTTTTCGACGCTGCAAATACCCAATGGGCACAGAAACAATTACCCAAAATAAATGAGAAATACAACAAAACTTTTAAATTAAGGGTCCTTAAGTAGAGAACCTTATATAAGAGAGAGGGAAGGGGGGTAATGGAAATACTGTTTGTGATGCATAAAATTATGGTTTGCCTTCTTTTATATAGGCCTCAAAACTTTCTCCATTTTTGTTCTGAACCAATGTGGGATTTGCTAATCTTGACTTCTTTTATATAGGCCATAAACCTTTCTCCATTTTTCATTCACACCCAATGTGGGATTACTGACGAGAGATTTTTTTCCAACAAATCTCCACCTTAGCGAATTAGCAAACCTTCAAAATTCTTTTATTCTTCTAACAAAGTTTGCAACACTTTTAAATGTGCCAAATGGCATAGTCAAATCTGTAGATATGTTAACGAAAGTAGTGACATTGATCAAGTTCAATCATTGTTTGAGCTTGATCAACATCGTGCGAGTTTGATTGGACAATTTGGTGCATTTGAAGGTGTTACTAATTCGTTAAGGTGGAGATTTGTTGGAAAAAAAAATGACTCATTAGCAATCTCACGAGTGGGAATGGAAAATGGAGAAAGGTCTGGGGCTTATATAAAAGAAGCCAAAAATAGCAAATCCCACAGTGGTTGGGAATGAAAATGGAGAAAGTTTTGAGGCCTATGTAAAAGAAGTCAAGCCATGGTTTTATACATCCCAAATAGTATTTTCATTACACCCCTCTTATATAGGGTTCTTTTATTGACCCTTAGTTTAAAATTTTTGTTGTATTTCCCCTTTATTTTGGATAATTGTTTTTATGCCTATATAGTTTGGGCATTTGTAATGTTGCCTAAAAGTTTGTAATATTCTTTAGAAGATAGTGAAGTTTCTTTTGCCGCTTCGGACAATCTTTCTTCTAGTACTCTTTTTCATGACAAAAAACACATTCATCCTTGTTAAGTTTTTCCATTCAAACGAGATCTTCCCCTTTCTCCTTCTTACGACTCTAATTACGCCCCCTTTTTGTAAGTGCCTCTGCTGACTTATCTCTATTCTCCTTCTGATCATTTTTTCGAATTTCATGATTAGATAAAGCAGAACATACTTTTTCAAAAGACAGTTTTTCTTTCTCATGAAGAAGTGTAATACTAAGATTATCAAATTCACCCAGAAGAGATCCATTTATGAGGAAAGAGAGAGGGATAAAGCTGTGGTAAATAAATGTTGGATTTGAAGTCGTTTCATCCAAATTTAACAAATCAACAATCAATCTATTAAATGTATCAATATGGCTACTGATACTCGTATCTGGTTGCAACTGAAGACGAAACAATCTTTTCATCAAATAGAGTCGATTCTCATTACTTTTCTTCACGTATTTGTTTTCTAGTGCCTTCCATAACTTACTGGTAGACTTCTCTTTCATGAATGGGTACTTCTACTCTCTATAAAGACATGAGCGAATCATCCCACAAGCTTTTACATTCACCCTCACACAGTCTTTCTCATCGATATCTTCTAGTTTTTCCTCCTCTAGAACTATATCTAGATCTTGTTGGCATAAATTATCCATTACCTCACACTGCCATAGGCCAAAGTTATTTTGACCATCAAATTTTTTAACATCAATATTTGCATTAGTAACCGTCTTTTTTTTACTGATGTAGACGATGATGCCATTTGTGTCTTACTCAATTGATTATATAATAGCTAATCAAATATTAACAATAGTCTAAGATAGTAGTAAGTGCTAAAAATGATTCAATATGCATCCCAAATAGTATTTCTATTATACCCTTATTGGGGATTTGTTTTGGGTAATTGTTTTTGTGCCCATATAGTTTGGTTTTTTATAGTATTACCCAAAAATTTGTAATATCTTTAGAAGATAGTATAGTTTCTTTTGCAGTGCCCAAGGATTTTGGTATTTTTTATATTTGCATTTGTTTTGACAATTTATTTCACTTTTAGTAGTTATTATTATTATATCTCAATAGCTGTCGTTAAGAGTTTGAGTTTTCGTTGCATAACATATTGTTTTCATGAGGCGAAGCATCTGAGCATTAGGCAATCGGCCACCACGATTGTCAACCTCTTTCCGAACTCTTGTTTGCCAGTCTGGATATTTGGCCAAGAGCATCAGAACCCACATTGTTGTTACGACAATAGTTTCATACCCAGCTAAATAGATGTTTTTGCAGTTATTAACAATGAATTTTCCCATTGAAACATCTATTTTCCTTCAGCATCTTCAAGGATTGCTTGCTAAAACCTTCTCTGGTTTTGTTTCTTTTTTCTCCACCACTTTCAAAACTAATTCATGGACTTTTTTCTCTAATCTCCATATTTACCTGTTGGTCTTGGTTGGAAAGTACCTTAATTTTCAAGTTCAAATATATAAATTGCTGTAGTTATGAACTTTGTTTCAGGAACCCCAATCTCGGAAAAGTAACTCTTAGACAAGGCCTCTTGTACAGATGTAAGCGTTTTGAAAATCTCCTCTTCTTTGGAGTAATTGCTCCCAAAAGCAGCTCTTGAGATAACATCTCCTAAGAATCTTCTTATGTATTCATCAATATTCAAACCAGCCATTCCTCCACCACATTCAATCTCATTACTCCACGAATTCATTAGTATCATCAAACATTCCACCATTAAGTTCAAAACATCCCATTAGAAAATTTTGTATTCTTTCCTATTCCGGATTTAAAAGATATCAGTCGAAAACTATTACGCAATTTTCGTGTACTTTAACCTTCTCAGGAGCAAGAATTCGTCTTTGATGAGCCCAAATTGCACCATTGGATGAGAGAATGCCATTGCCGAGCAACAGGCCGAGCCGTATTGATTTTATAAGAAGGCTTCCCTAAGTCCCAAGAAGTGCACATGCTTATTTCTTTCATCATTTCAGGCTCATTCATGTACATGATTTGCTTGTTTCTGAGAGCAAACACAAATTTTTTACCTGTATATATTAATGTAATTAAACAGTAAATTGATGGATGTAATTAAATCTTTTCATTAATTATCTAAATATTTTACCGTACTCTTTTCGCCATTGATCGAAAGATGAAAAGAGAATGGAAGAACAATTATATGTTATTAATGTTGCTACTTGAGAGTCCTTGGAAACTTTTGATTGATTCTTCCTCAAATCGCCAATATTTCTGAGCAAAAATGAAGGTGGAGGACCTGTGATTCCTTGTTTCTGAAGTTTCGAACGAAGCTTTCCGGGCTTCCGAATTAGTGTATCATATATCTTCACGAGGATGCTAATAAAGCGGAGCAAAGCTCCTGTTATCAGCCTCTTGTTATCTTTTAGAATTCAGGATGGAATAGCTATTGACATATTTGATTCATAATCAAATGTCACATCCCACGGCATTGACGCTGGCTCAGAAAGCCCAAGAGAAAATTTGTGCAACTTGGGTCAAAAGGGAAAGTTTACGAGGTTTTAGCTTTTGGAACGGACAATATCAACTTGGTTAGATCCGAGTTTTGACACAAAAGTTATATAGATTAATATTGGTGAAATCTTTCATACATTTCTTATAGTTTGGGATCAATAAGTTTGAGAGTACTTAAATCTATTACTTTCACTTAGGTTGGCTTAAAATTCTGGGGATATATAGAAATTATAAGGAGGGATGAGTTACTGGAATCTGGTACTAAATCTACGAAAACCCCCCAAATATCATCATATGGAGATTAATTCAATGGCCATATTTCTGGATACTGTGCGAACAAGTATTTTAATCTGAAAATTTCACCATAAATTTAAAGTTTCTTTAAGCAGTAAATCTAATAGAAAAACAAGAAATATAACTAGAGAACTAACAATGAGAAGTAAACTCAGGATATCAATTTTTAACAATTGTTTTGACCAACTTTATTTTCTCATGAAAAAAATCTCAACTCACTACTTTACAAACAATCTACTCATATTCAAAACCCAGCTGTTGCTTCTACTACATTTCCAATTAAAAATAATTTGCTTCACTTTCCCTTCCAATATTTTTCCCATATCTATACATGTGAAATGTTTGTAACCAACATTTTCCCAAATTCAAAATAAACTTGAAAGAATAAACCAACCCTTGTGTAGTATTCTAAAAATGTAACAATGTGAATAGAGAAATTTTCAAATAAATTTAATCAGATCATTAGTTGGAGAACTTGAGATTTACTGAATGATGTATTCTGGAGATGATAAATTTTCTGACACAGAGTTTCGCTAAGAGTTTGGAACGAATGTGCCAACATAACTGATCCCTGCGATGAAGAAGGCAATGGATTGGAGAAAGAGGAAAATGAAGTAGTGGTTCTTTCCGAATGCAAGATCATAGCAGCCGACGAAGAAGAGGTATGCTCCTACTCCAAGCTCCAGCAAGTGCAGCCTGTTTATGTAAAACGGAAAAATGTGTGAAATACATATCAAACACTTGTAATTGGTAATGCTTTGGTTAAATTGTCTATACAAAACTATACCTTTCGCCAATCCTGATACGAGGTTTCTTTTGAGCTTTGGGGCCTAATTTTGACTTGAGAGCATCTCCCAACTTCTCAGTAACAACCCATTCATTTACTCTCCCTGCCTCCAGCAAGCCTATGAATGTTGCCTTAGTCCGGTGCAGTGACATGACATTTTCGAAGAGGATCCAGAACATCAATAGGTGGATTGATCTACAGGATTTTACATAAAACAAATGTTAGAAACTACTAATTAATAAACAAGAAAAAAAACTTATTTGCATAATCTAGAATCAAGATTTCACACAACTAGTTTATAGTATAGAGACCTTGGGGTGCCGACAGCATTAAGAAGAGTGATGATAGAAGGAATATAGACAGCTCCCCACTTGGGAACTTCCACTTCAGGAACCAAAACAGTTGCAGGCATAACAATGCAGTAAAACACGAATGTGACAATATGTGCTACAATCTTTCGAACGAAGAAGAAACTGTAAATCACATAGAGCTTCTTCCAGAGATTAACTTTCTGCAATAAACAACAGGATATATAGTCAGAAAAGGAAGATATAAGAAAGTGAAAGTTCGCTTCTCTAGCTTTGTAGTCGAAATTAAGACAGAAAGAAAACCTTAGTTCTAAAAATTTCCACCGCCATTTTCTTAAAGAGATTAGCTGGGCCACAAGACCATCTGTGCTGCTGGTATCTGTAAGCTTTGAAGGTGCTTGGAAGTTCATTTTTCACCTATAAAACAAATACTAATCAATTCAGGAATGGATTTAAAAGGCCACAAAAGAAAAATCCACTGAGGCATTTCAACAAACACTTATCTAAAAATTTGCCCACAAGATTTTTAGTACCTTGAGGTCACCAACATAAACAAATTTCCAGCCTTTGAGACTAGCACGAACGGCCAAGTCCATATCCTCCACAGTAGTACGGTCTTTCCATCCACCGGCTTCATTGAGAGCTGTGATTCTCCATACACCGGCGGTCCCTGCATCATTCATTGAAAATAATCCATCTCTCAAAGTTAGCATTTATGTTACATTGAATAATTTGAACTTTTACATTTACTTTTGGTAATAATAATTGTTTTACCATTGAAACCAAAGAAGGCATAAGTTGAAGAGCCAACTTCTTGTTCCACAGTGAAATGGTAATCCAATGACATCTCTTGCATTCTTGTCATCAAACATTCATCTGCATTAACTGCAATTCCATCCAAAACCCATCTTCACTTACCAATTTCTATTCCATTAACATAAATTGAGTAAAAAAAAATTCGTCTTAAATCAAGACTAATTTATAAATTTTGGGTCTTCTCGAATAAGTTAACATATTTATCTCATGCGATATACTATTAATCTAAATAAACTGAAAGTTGAAGTATCACTATCAAATTAATAATAAAAATATTATCTAATTATGAACACAACTGGGTTTTTTTTTATTATTGATCTAAATTAATTAAAACTGGTGGTTTGGACTTTGGACCAACCAAATAATCTTTTGGTCTAAATGACAATTCAGAGAAACTGTCACTGTCCTTTCTGGTGGCCTGTATGGCTGTATAGTGTACACTATCAGTTTCAATAAACTGGATGACTTTATTGATTTGGTCATTCATGGCCAAATCTGACAAAAATGAAACAATTTAATTTAGAAAAATTTAACCACCGATTATAAAAAAGTATAAGGAGGTTCTATAAATTCTCACATATCCTAATAGACTCTAGAGAATTAACCGAGGTGCATGTAAGCAGAAAAAATTAAATTTTGTTTTTTTACCTTTTTATTTTTTAATAGTTGAAAGGTGGCCTTGGCTGCTGCTTATGATGATAAATATTATTCTATTGGGGCATGCATAAAAATTTGAGCCACTAATTTTGGGTCCCAAAATTTGATGTGTTGATGTGTCACATTTTAGTTTGTTCAAAATTGGAAAAATCAAGAATATAATAATGAGTTCAACTACCGCCTTTTTGTTTCTACCTGACGATAACATCCACAGTTTAAGTAAATATTAAAATGTATAGTAAAATTAGGGATAAATATTAAAGTGACCCCTGAAGTTTTCGTTTTGATTAATAGTAAGACCTTTTCCAATTAAGTATCCTACTAATTTTAAACTTTGACTTGGTTTGACCAATAAAAACTTTGAAAAATTTCTTACCTTCTGGAAGATTATTTGTACAGAAAAGATGATAATTTTTTCTGTAATTATCGGTCAAAACAAGTTAGCATTTCAAAAATAACAAAAAAAACTGATCGGTTCTAAAGTTATTAGGGGTGTAATTGATATCATCCAGATCTCAAGGGCTTTTCATATTTTCCTAAAAAGTTGCGAGAATGAAAAAGAAAGCAAATTTGACCCATATATGGATATGCTTTTAGAATATGGTGTCCAAAAGCACAGGAAAAAAATATTATAAAATGACCACCGACACAAGTTTAATTCAACAATAACTATAACCAATAAATGTGATTAATTAAAGTTAATGAAAAGAGAATTTTACCAAATTTCCAGCGAGCTTGAACAAGAGCAATTTCTGGGTTGTGAGCTAGAAATGGAATTGTGCGCCATAGAAAATCAGGTTCAGGTTGAAAATCAGCATCAAAAATGGCGACATAATCACAATGTTTAACATAACTATGCTTCATTCCTTCTTTCAGAGCCCCTGCTTTGTATCCATTTCTGTTGTCTCTTATCTCGTACTTTATATTTATGCCTTTGCTCGCCCATCTTTGGCATTCCAGCTTAACAAAATCCTGTTCATTTTTATCCCCGGAAAATTGTCACATGACACATCAAAAACTTGTTAAATAATCTGAATTTGATGCCAAACCTTTATGGTTGGGTCTGTCGAGTCATCGAGAACTTGAATTATAATCCTATCAGAAGGCCAAGAAAGGCCACAGGCGGCGCCAATGGAAAGCTGATAAACCTGAAGACGAATGGAACAGTAACCATATATCTAACTTAGTTAAGCAGATTTATATATATATAGAATGTGAACCTAAATGGCTTTAACTTAAACGTTATGCGTACCTCTTTTTCATTATACATTGGAATTTGCACGAGGACCATTGGATAAACTGAGTTTCCAAGCTCAACATCGTCCTTCATGGGCTCCCATTTGTATTTCTTTTCAGGTTTTCTTCCAAACATCTTCAACAGAACTATAACAATGCCCATGTAAACTCTCTCAATGAAGAGCATTAGGGACATAGCCAAACATAAATACGTTAAAACTTTCAGGAGTGGAACGATCAATGGCGCTTTCGTTTGCTGCCAAATTATTCCAACTTGGCCTGTAATATCATCCCGGGCGCCCTGGAATCGCTCAGGAAGAACAACGGTGGCTGACAGTTTGTCCATAGTTGGGATAGTTTATGCTATTCCGTTTGGAGCTAGGTCAATGAGTTTGAGAAAATGTAGTTTTGGTTATAAAGAGGTAAAGGGTTTGCGAAAAGCACACGGGTCTTTGTTTATTTTTTGGGTCTGAAACGAAATGGCTCTCACTTTTGGCTGTGATTTTTGCTTGTGAGTTACGTTTAGGCAATGTGAAGTTAGAGCTGGACGATCATGGCTCACTTGATCTCTATTTCAGAAACAGACCCACTTGCAAAATCATCAATAAAAGAGAAGTTGAGCTCAAGAAATTAACTCAGAAATGATTACACAAAGAGAGAGAGAGAAAAAAAAAAAAACTTTGATGAAACTGTATTTGTTTCTCTCTTCTCTTTGTTGTTTATTTAAACGGAAGAGAATTAAGGCAAAGAATGAGAGCTAAATTAACAAGATTGAATTGTGGAAATATATATATATATAAATGGTGGGGGAGTTCCTTTGTGTTGGCCTCTAATAAAATACAGAAGAAAAATAATGGTCAAATTGACAAGGATTGGGGATCCGAAGCAGGCAAGTAAATGTCAGAATCGAGCTGCGTTTTAAGTTTAAGCTTTTGATTTACAAACTCTTTTGGGGTAAAGGTATAAAAAAGAATTTAAATTATAAGTCTGTTTATCAAGTTTTGTGTTCATATTTCTATATGTGCAGCTAACTCAGACTAGTTTAACCATCACTTTCAGTCTTTTTCACAAGTGGGAAATTAATGAAGAGCTGGCAATAAATTGATTGCTTCTGTAAATTTATGCCATTAAAATTTGAATTTTGTTGCCATTAATTAATTTGTTTTCTAAACTGAATGTTTAATGAAACTATTAAGACGTTGAGTTTTTTTTTTTTTTTTTTTTACCAAGTCAATGGTGAGTTGCATATACTAAATCGAGGCTGAATTACATTTTTACCCCCAATTTGTGACAAAAAGACTCCCCTTTAGACATTAAAACTTAACTATAAAAGGGCAACCTTGTCAATTCATAATGTAAGATTATGTTTTCTGTCTTCATAATGTTACATATTTGAGGTGAATTGACTAAATGTGATACTGTATTAGGTGTTTTCGAGACCAAGGGGTAATATTGGGTATTTCTGAAGCCAAGGGTGGGAATAGATTTTTACCATAGATTGGGGGACAAAACGTGATTCGGCCTTAAAACAATAAAAAGAATGAGCAAAATGTTTTTAGTATTTTGAAATTGGGTGGAATTAATTTATAGGTAATGGGTATTTTTCTACGTACAATGGTTTTGGATTGTTCTTGGAAGCTTTAATTTTTTATTAATTTTAATTTTTTTTTTCATATTTAATAGGGAAAAAGGAGCACACGGTGGTTGATGATATCAACTTTCTTTCATGGCATAATCAAAGAGGTCCAATAAGGTTCCTTTGTAAAAAGAATTATTCAGCCTTAAAAGAACAATATTATAACAACAACAACCTTATAATATATAATTTAGTTGAAGACTTATAGTGATAATAGAACCTTCCTAGTAATTTGGTATAGTTTACCCGTTCAATGTCACAAATTTTGAACTAGTTTTATAATAAATTCCCCGCGTCGAAAATTTATATGAATATTAAAAAGATTAAGACGTTCATAAAAGAGAATGATTATAATTTTTCAATTATCTTCGGGTGGTTGAGTAGTTGGATAGAGACTCTTAGGTTTGTTACTCAAGAGGTCTTGAGTTCGAGTCCCTCTTCGGTTATTAATAGGGGTAGCTACTGAAGTTCTTACCCAACCAATAGTTCTAGGGTCTCGAGGGATTAGTTGAGATGCGTGTAAACTGATCCGAACACCTCTGATTATTAAAAAATATATATATATATAATTTTCTTTTTCTTATTTTGTCTTTTAATACATTTTTCTTGCATCCATCATTTAATATCAAGTTTGAATAATTCATAAACTACTTATCTAACGAAGAAAATATTAATTGCATGAAATGGAAAAAAATTGCCGGAATTTAAAAGAAAAAGATAGACATTCATGACAGAAAGTGACTACTTCATACTGTTTTAACTTTCAAATTTGCTTAATTTTTCTTTCTTATTTTTTTTTCCAAATACATTGACTGTAGCATCATATAATACCAAACTTTGAATAATTCATAACTACTTATTAAATGAAGAAAACACTAGTTGGAGTAATTGGATTTTTTTTGTAATCTCCAAAGTCCTAATTAATTGGCTGATAAGTACAAATAGGTTTTAATAGTATTTCTATTACACCCCTCTTATATAGGGTTCTTTAATTGAGTACCCTTAGTTTAAAAGTTTTGATTGATTCCCAATTTTTTAACTGTCTTTGGGTGGTCGAGTGGTTCGATAGAGACTTTTAAGTGTATTACTCAAGAGGTTTGAGTTCGAGTCTCTTCTCGATTGCTAATAGGGATAGCTACTGGAGCTCTTATCCGACCAGTAGTTTTAGAGTTTCGGGGGATTACTCGGACGCTTCTGGTCATCAAAAAGATTTTAACAACAAATGGGAGTATTATATTGATTATATAAGCAGTAGACAAATTGCCAATAATTCAGGAAAAAGAAAATTGAGACACCAAAATTGTGAAAAGAAATGAATTACGTCAAGCACTTGTATTTTTCATGTCTAAAGTGTGAGAAGAATTATGGTATAATCATTTATGAGAAATTAATTATGTTTGGTTGTTGGAATTCATGAGCTTGATTTAAGGATTATTTTCTTAGTATTGTTATTCTACACGAAAATTATATTTGTTAAACTGAAAAACAAGAAATTAATTTTGTGTTTTCATTATCCGGCAATGTGTTCAACAATTATATATTCTGTTGATGCGAGATTTTGTCACCAACTAAACACACATGTGAAATGTTGAGCTGACTCAGAGAACACACGCGAATAAGCATATGAGAGTGGATAAAAGATGGGAAACGATGTTCAAAGTGGTTCGGATGCTTAAACAAGCGACTCTTACGTCCATTGATATTGTATTAATATACTGAGGTCAGGTCGCGTTTAGCGAGCTGATTTATAAGTGATTACAAAGAGAAAATAAGTATGCTATTACAAAGAGAAATTAGCTAATCCCACAAATTGGAGAGGAGCCCTCTATTTATAGTGAGATGGATTGAGGTAATAATTACTAAATCAGGAAATGTGTTAGATTGCTGTCCAAATCCTTCCTTGCGCCCCGTTATTCACCTGCCCGAGTGATTTACTCGAGTCTAGCAGGGATTGGACATGTGGATCACCTCCAGTCTTTTACTAGCCTGACGCGCATCTTCTGCATTAGCAGGAGCACGCCTTTTGCATCAGTGCGCGACGTGACTGCACCTGAATAGCACCTGGACTTACCTAAGCTCTGATCACTTGCGTTGATATGGTTCTACGTCAACCCTCATAACATATTCCACCAACAAACCATGACATATCAACAACTCTTTGAAAAAATTGGAAAGAAACAAATAAAAAACTATTATATATTTTTTTAAAGTTATTCACCTTCGGTAACTAACATTCAAATTATTTTAGATTTTAGATTTTTTATATCCGGAGATGTCAAAGCCAGCTTGTATGCAAGGTCAACTAGTTCCTCAGACTTGAAATTAACAGTAAAGTAAGTCTCTAATAACCATCCCTTATTAGTAGTCGTAAAAAGTCAAACTCAAAACTTATTGAGTAATATACATAAGAGTCTCAAATGAACAGCCGAACTAATTACAAATTATTACTAAGATATCAACATCAATATCAATATACCTTAACAACATCTTTATCCCTCTTCTTTATAAAAGAATGGATATAATATCGTCTTCAATAATTAATAACAAGTTAATAGACAATAATCAATATACTAATTACAAATTATTACTAAGGTATCAAATAAAATTATAATTTATAATCATCCTAGTCATTGATAACTTAGTTTTTCTACCATAACGTGGTAAATAAATGTTGGATTTGAATCGTTTCATCCAAATTTAAAATCAACAATCAATCTTTAAATGTATCAATATGGCTACTGATACTCTATCTGGTTGCAACTGAAGACGAAACAATCTTTTCATCAAATAGAGTCGATTCTCATTCTTTTCTTCACGTATTTGTTTTCTATGCCTTCCTAACTTACTGGTGACTTCTCTTTCATAATGGTACTTCTCTCTCTATAAAGACATGAGCGAATCATCCCACAAGCTTTTACATTCCCTCACAAGTCTTTCTCATCGATATCTTTTAGTTTTTCCTCCTCTAGAACTATATCTAGATCTTGGCATAAATTATCATTACCTCACACTGCCATAGGCCAAAGTTATTTTGACCATCAAATTTTTTACATCAATATTTGCATTTGTAACCGTCTTTTTTTTACTGATGTAGACATGATGCCATTTGTGTCTTACTCAATTGATTATATAATAGCTAATCAATATTAACAATAGTCTAGGATAGTAGTAAGTGCTAAAAATGATTCAATATGCATCCAATAGTATCCATTACACCTTTTATAGGCTTTATTGGGATTTGTTTATTTTGTTTTTTGTGGTAATTGTTTTTGTGCCCAATAGTTTGTTTTTTGTAGTATTACCCAAATTTGTAATATCTTTAGAAATATAGTGTAGTTTCTTTTGCATGCCCAAGGAGTACATCATTTTTTGGTATTTTTTATATTTGCATTTTTTTGCAATTTATTTCAATTTTAGTAGTTATTATAAGGCGAAGCACCTGAGCATTAGGCAATCGGCCACCACAATTGTCAACCTTTTTTCCGAACTCTTGTTTGCCAGTCTGGTATGGCCAAGAGCATCAGAACCCACATTGTTGTTACGACATAGTTTCTAACCCAGCTAAATGGATGTTTTGTGCAGTTTTAACATGAATTTCCCCATTGAAACATCTATTTCTTCAGCATCTTCAAGGATTGCTTGCTAAAACCTTCTCTGGTTTTGTTTCTTTTTTCCACCACTTTCAAAAATATTCATGGACTTTTTTCTCT